CCCCCATCCAAGCCCCAGGGCATGAGGACCACATCCAGCCTGCTTTGTGGGGCTGGGGCTAGAGAGCATGGGAGAAGGCCCGGGGTGCAGGTGTGCGCCTGCCGCAGCCTGGTCAGTGTCCTGTGGGAACCACTAGGAGGCACCTGATGCAGGTCACTGGGGTAGAGGACTCTGGGTGGCAGGAGCCCCAGGGGAAGGCATGCCAGGCCCACGTAGAGAACTTGGCCTCTGCATCTGCATGAGTCCCCTCCATGCTGGCCTGGGCCCATGGGCCCTGCTGGGTCCTTGTGGAGTCAGGGTTGGGGGTGTCCAGGTCTGCGCAGGGCCTGGCCTCCAGGAACAGATGATGCTGGAAGCCAGAGTCTGGGGTGAGACTTCTCTGACCCTGTCTGAGCCACTCCCTCTTTGCTGTCCAGAGCTGACCCTGTGTGAGGGCAAGGGCTGTCAGCTGCAGAACAGTGGTTTATTGACCAGGCAGGGCCTCCCCAGCCCGGCCTCTGCTCCCCGAGGGGCTCGGGCTGTGTGGGCTGGCCCTGGCAGAAGGCGGACAATCCTCTAGGCCCAAGGACATGGGGGTCACAGAGGTGGGGGCCTTGGGCCCACACATCCGGGGAGAGTTCCCAACTGTTCCCTGCAGCTATCCCAGGCAGGTAGCAGGTTCGGCCTACACATGAGTGCCCAGACCCTGGGCAGGACTGGGAAGCACTTGACCCCACCTCCAGCAGCTCTGCAAATGCTGAGAAAAAAAGGTGACTCTGTGTGAGGATGGGGTTGGCTGCAGCTGTGGTGATGGCCCAGGGTGGGGCCTGGAGGCCGAGGGTGGGCTGGTGGGTGCTAGGTGCGGCAATGGAAGAGGCTGCCAGTTCAGAGCCACCACAAAAGCTTCAGCCACAGCAGCTGCCGAGCGCCCTTCATGAGGCTGCTGTTCTCCAGGGCGCGGCGGGACAAGTAGGGCAGCACCTCCATCACGGGGCTATAGGACACGTACTTGTAGCCGGCCTGGCCTGCATGGGGGCAGATACGCCATGAGGTACAGGCCCAGAACCGTACCCCATCACACCAGGGAGGGCCCCACTCACCCAGCGGGAAGCTGATCTGGTCACACATGCCTAGCAGCTGTCCAAAGTACACCTGGTGGTCAGCGGGATGCAGGCACAGCTCCTCCATCCTATGCAAGTGGAGCCAGGAGCTGAGGGCCAGCTCCAGGACGCTGTCCCCGGTGCAGGGGTACAGGGCTCCTGTCCCAGCTCTGAGCCCGTCCTACTACCCCAGGTTCCCCATCTACACTCTCCAGACTTCATCCCCTGCAAGGTGGGGCTGGGGTATGGGCTCTGCCCGGCCCTGCCCCAGTGAGGTCTCTTCTCAGCAGGACTCTGCTGGGCTGCCCTACTCTTCTCCCTGGGGAGGCCTCAGCCCTTAGCCAACAAGATCCTCCTCCTGCTTTCCCCACACTCCCCTCTGCCACCTCTCCTCTACCTCCCTTCCTGGAGGTGCAGCCCTTCCTGGGGCCCTGACCCACCCAGCATCCTGCCCCACAGGGCAGGGAAGCTCCTCAGCTCTCCTGCCATCCCTTCCTCAAGCCCCTCCAGGGTTCTGCGGTATGACTGGTCTCTGGCCTTGCCCTGGCCCTCTGTGGGCTGCTCCTCTGCCCCATCCCCACAGCTGCTCTGTCCCACACAGCTGCCACCAGCCCCCGAGTCTTCGGAAGGCGGCTGCCCTGAACCGAGATGTGCTGCACATGTCACATACACACGGGATTTAGGAGACTTTGTAGAAACATAACACTCAATGCCGCATTGCTTTTCTAAAAGCAGCTGGAATACGATTTGAAGTAATATTTTGTATATTTTGGGTTAATTAAAATGTATTCTTGAAATTCATTTTATCTTTTTTAATGTAGCTACTAAAAAATTTTACAGATGTGGCTTGCATTATATATCTGTTAGCACTGCTCAGATATTGGGGTGGGGCCCTCAACTCTGTCCTGTCTTCACACCACCCCTGACAGGGTCTTACAAAGATTCTCAGGGTTTGAAATATCCATGCAGTGACAGTTCTCACGTTTCATCTCCAGCTTCCTATATCCAGGTATCCTGACTTAGCCGGTCTGCACAGCACTGGGGACCCCACCCTGGGCTGAGTTTCGCCCACTCCTCACACATCACCTGGGTGACTGGCGGGGCCTGTGCTGTGCTTCCCACTCCCTCCCCAAGGGCCTCACCTCCCCTGTTCTCTCCCCGCCCCAGCCCTGGCTCCCAGAGTACCCATCAGCCAGAGGCCCTTTCCCTCCATCCCTGGGCTGGGCTCCAGTGTCGGGACCACCCAGTCTAAAGCAGGCACCCGTCTCTGCCACATCGCCCTGGTCTCCATCGTGTGTCTCCCTCAACCCCAGGACAAGAACCCAAGAGCCGGGCTGCCACTGCTGGCTGCCCCCTCCCCTGTGGTGTGCACGGCCTCTGCCATGTGACTGCAGCTCCCCCCAGCGCCGGGCAGCAGCTCACTCTGCCTGGCATCTGGGCTTGGCCTCATGAGGCATTTTGGCCAACAGGGAGGTACCAAAGGTGACACAAGCAGAGGCTTGCCCTCTCCAGGCCTTCTGGAAGCCCGAGCCCACCACATGCCCAAGCCTGGGCTGGCCTGTGAGACACTGGACCTGGGTACAGCCTCCTTTACTGCCCCAGCCATGAATGAACTCATTAGGCCCCACCAGCCCCAGATCATAGATGCAGGAGGGACACAGGCACGGCCAGCGGCAGAAGCATCAGCTGAGCCAGCCCGCCCAGGCCTGCAGAACATGCCACTGTTTCAGCCTCTAAGTTTGGGGCTGGTTGGCTCCTCGGCCAAAGCCAATGCGGGTTGTTTGAGGGTGGGTGGTGTGGCAGTCTCGGCCCGGCATAGGACAGAGCAGCTGCCATAGTCTAGAAGCACTTACTCAGGGGAGGGGACCCCAGCTCCCCAGAGCTCCCCAGCCACCCACTGCAGGGGCACAGAGCTGAAGCCTGCAGGGGTCCAGCCTCAGGCAGGGTTGTGAGCATGGTATTGGGGGAACCTGGCACACGGCCCTTGGGGCCATGAGGAGAGAGCCCAGCTGCCACTCAGGGGAGGGGGAAGCTGTGTCCAGTGGGGAAGCCACTGCCACAGTAAGACAGTGGGGACAGACAGGTGCCGGCGGGAAGCTGGAGAGAGGAAGCCCTGCTGAGGGCAGGCTGTCCTTTTGGAGTTGGATGGTGATGTGTCTAGTCAGGCTGTGAGCCCACCAGCATTGAGAGTCCACCCAGAGGCCGGGAGTC